GGGGGGGGGTGGTCTCTGGTGGCAAACACCACCACGTGTAAGTAGTTAAGGAAAGGGCATATGCAGCCACCTCCACCTCCCTTTACATTAAGAGCACACAGGTCTCGGGCAGCAGCCACCAGCCCCAGCTCTGCCTTAAACACAGCATCTGTGTGAGTGTGGAGCTGTGGAGGGAGGCACAAAGCCCTGAGCGTTCCCTGCCCAGAGAAATGGCCCAAGCCCAGAAGTTACCAGGACGACAGAGCAGACAAACAGCCCTGCAGTGGCTGGGAGAAGACTGGCTTTCCTCAGCTTGAGCCCTCCTCTAAGACCGTGGCCGAGCTTTTCCTTTCAGGCCCTGCCCGGGAGCTCTGGCTCAGCCCTGTCTTGGTGCCTTCTCGGCGCCTGGCCTGAAAGCTCTGTCTTGTTTCCCCAGCACAGCTCCCAGAGGAAAAGGGCAGTGAGGGTGCAAAGCCCTGGCATCAACCCTCAGTGAGATACTCCCAAAGCAGCGGGCAGCAGCACTAGCTCATTCCAACGCAGCAGGCACAAGCAGGCCATTAGAAATGGGGCCTGAGAGCAGCAGATTTTGGATCCTGTGCCCTGTGAGGATAAAGCCAAGTCCCAGCTGGTCTTCCCATGCCTGGCTAACTGGTGCTGGCCACTGCCAGTCCTGATCAAAGATTAATGAAGAGCCAGTGGCTCGTTCTCATCAGGCATTCTCACACCTCTCAGTGCCTGAACAGGGGAAGCTCTGTGCTAGGAGTCTCTGTATGAGACTTGCGGACAGAACAGGTTAAATCCCTGTTGAGTGAGGGATGGGTTTCAGCTGCAGTGCCTGTCTCTCTCTCTCTCTCTCTCCCCTCAGCAGGTGGGGAGGGGACTATGTATTCGCCACTAAATGTTCTCTCTCTCAGAGCCCCTACCAAACAGAACGAGAGCCCCTGTGAGCAGGAGGCGATGGCTGCAACCCAATCCTCAGAGCACCCCTCGGCCTGCCAGCAGAGCTTGGTCCCACGTCGGGAAGAGCTGTCGGCTGCTGACACCCACCGGAGAGAGAGGGGATTGCTGGGGTCTGTACGGTGCTAACACAGCTGGACTCGCTGCTTGGCTTTGGATTGCAGCATGCTGCTGCAGCTGTGAAGTGCAAGTTATTATAGCACAGGGTACTGTCCCCTGGGGGGGGTCTGGAGGTGAAGAGGCCCTTTACAGCAGAAATGCACGATGCTGATCTCTTCTACCCAGCTATACACGTTCCCCAAGAGGCACTTTGGTGAGATTTTTTTTTTTTGTTGCTCATCTGCCAAGTCACATCACATCTGAGTCTCAGCACTTACCTCGCCCCTCCCCACAGCCTCGTGCTGTCACTGCTCCAGCCACCATTGATCTTCAGTTGGCTGGAAGGGCTCTCTGCCCACAGGAGGGGATGCGCTGGCCCAGAGTACCCAGGCACTGTAGGTACCAGTCTGGAGCTGGACAGCTTGTGGCAGCTCTCGACGGCTATCTCCTGGGACCCCCCCGCACTGGGCCAGGACACAGCTGTGGGCTAAGTTAACTCCTGCACGGCTTTGCAGTAAGGTGGGGGCATCCCTGCATGGAATATCCCAGGGACACAACGTAGACACGTGCACGCAGGGTTCTGAGTGGAGGACTCACCCTTGCTGTGCTAGACAGGAGGAGCTGGAGGCCCAGACCCCCGCCTGTGTGAGACCCTGTGCAAGCACCACAAATGTGCAGCAATTCATTGCCCAGCCACCTGCGCCCCTCCTCTGTGCCTGCGCTGAAGCTACAGGAAAAGAAACACCCCTCCCCGTCCCCAGCAAGTCCCCAGCATGGTGGGGCTTAGAGCTGCCATCTCTGCCTACAGCCGCAGGAGGCAGTCCCGCACAGCACACACACAACACTTTAATGCACACTGCTGGCAAAAAGCAGCAGGGGGTTATGTCTGGTACCCCATCACATGAGCCTCTGAACCCCCAGCCTCCCCCTTTTTCCCCGTTGGGACACACCTCCAGCGCAGGAGAAAGGCTGCTTCGCTTCTTGCCGCTCCCTCCTCTCTGGCTAAAGCAAGGTCTGCTGGGCTCCTCCTAGACAAAGTGTGCTCACCTCTGTCCCTTCGAGAACAGACATGCTTCCCTGGGACACAACATTTTGCAGAAAAAAACCCACTCTTCAAAAGGAAGCACAAAATTCCTTTTTTACCTGCAATCTATTATTAGCAACAAAACCTTCTGCATGACATGCAAATTCCCTCAGGTAAATGCAACCCTCCGCTTCCAACTGAAAGCCCCGGAACGTGCCAGAGGAGACTGGACTAAAAATCTAGTAACATCCACCACCGGCAGACACTGCTACAGTTTTTACTGTAACGCTGCAGAAACTATCGCCACCGTTCTGCAGCTGGGGCAGGGTAACAGGTAAGACAGGTCAGGAAAACAGTGTAACAAAGGTGGTAAAGGAACTTTTTTCAAGGCGATATGGATCCTGCAACAGCTGCTGTGTCCCACCCCATCAATGGCATGAGCACAATGGAGGCAGAAGGCTGATTTTCAGGTAAAAGGTAATAAAATAACCACTCCTCCAGCAGCCTGCTAACATGTGCCAGCAACTCACAACAGGGTGAGCACACAGCAGTGTTCCAAGATGCAAGACTCCTGTTTTTTAACTAATACACTGATCACTGTAGATCTGGTTGGTTCAGGGAGAGCTGTACTTCACTAGCTCTGAACATGCCCAAGCCAGCTAACAGATGGAGGTCCTGCCCCTCAACACTGTTCCGTCACTCTGAACCTACACACCAACAGGACAACACAACCGCTTTCCTGTCACTGATCCACGCTGATAATGCAACACAGATCAAATTACTATGAACACTTCAGATAAATGAAGTCAACTCATTAATAAATCCATGCAGTGCCCTCACTGAGTCTTGGCTGAGGACTGCAAGCACCCGGACCCGCTCGGCTGAAAGAACAGGGTTTGTTCAGCCCAAAGGCCAAGAGGGATTTTACTGCTTCCTACAGCTTGCTGATGGGAGGGCGCAGAGACTAGAGACGGGCTCTCCTCAGGAGTGCACGGTGTGGAAAGACGATAACAGATGCAAGCACAGTTAGGTGCTGGTTTGGTTTTTTTTCACTACAGGATTGGTCAAATACCAGAACAGGGGTCCAAAGAGTTTGTAGGATCTCCATCCTCAGAAATATTCAAAACAAGACCCTGAGCGTCCTCCTCTGAACAAGTGGGTTGGACTAGAAACGTCCAGAGGCCTCTTCCAACCTGAATTATTCTTTGATTGCAAGTTTAAAACCAGAAGCCAGCAGATACTTCACTGTACTTCAGGCTAATGGACCTTGAGAGAAGTTAAACTTTCATGAGGGCAGAGGAAGTAAGCCCTAACAAAGTGCAATACGATCACCTCACTGCCTGATTCATCACTACCCCAGTGTTACATGCTGACAAACACATTTATCATTTATTAAATTATTATTTTTTCTTCTAACTGATCTTAACATGCAGCAGTAGCATTAGTAAGCACCTCAATACCTGTCAAGTAACTCTAAGACAACTTTCTAGGTGCTCTACTTATCTCAGACATGCTTCACAAATATTAACGTTGCCTCCACACCCACCCTCCCCCTCACCACCAAGAAAGCTGCACAACCCCGACGCTGGGGAGCCGCTCACCAACGCACTGCCCTGAGTGGGATTCCTGCGCGCAGAGGCTGATGCTCCCACGAGGTGTCTCACGCTGTAACCCACAAATACAGAAGCCTTTCAGCCCTGATGCACAGAAATGAAACTCTGCAAGATGGCAAGGGAAAAAACAAGCAGCAGGTGACTGCAATAAACTCATGATGCAACCCTCCTTAGAGGGTCATTGTGGCTCTGCAAACTCACCAGGGTCAGGGCCATCTCCTCAGGTGGGGTCAATTGCCCGTTCTGCTCGGCCACGGCACACACCCCACCAGCTCTGCAACAAGCTGCAGCCACACAACACCTGGGCAAAGAATTACAGCTGCACCTCCCTACACCAACAATTACTGGCTCCCTTCTGAGCAGAGAACAAAGCAGGGGCTCCTGATGCTGTGGAAGCACTGAGACTTGCCTTACAGTCAGCACAAGTACCAGGAAAAACAGCCACATTCCACCTCTGAAAACATCAGCTGGATCAAAGGCAGAACTACACAAGACAAACATATGCAACAGAGAAAGACCAATGCCCGAGTTTATTTTAAACACCGACCGTCAAAATCAGGGAATAAAGGTTGAGTCTCTCTTGTCATCAGCAGAACGACACCGGTCCCATTTGTTAGGTCTGTTCCTTGCTGCCAGTCTCTGGGGGGGCTTCCCCGCTTTCACCCTCCGTGGGCTGACCTTGAGACCCGGTATCTGCTGAGTTTTCCAGAAGCAGTTCCAAGGCTTCCTCACCAGCCACACGTCTCACCTTCTCCCCTTTGGCTGCCAGGATTTCCTCGATATTCCTTCACAGCGATTTGAAAACCAACAGTGACACCACAGCAAAAGCCAGACCTAAGAGCCAAGCGCAGGCTCGCTCCCGCACACTTTGCTCTCAGGATTAACCCCACACGGTGAATCACACACCAGCCTTACTGCAGTTTCTCCACGAGTTTGGGAAGCAGATAAACCCACCCAAACCTTCTGTCACTATTTTAATTCATTAAGATCAATGATTTAGCAATTAGGGCTAAACACAAATTTTTAAGGTATCTCAGGGAGTCAGAAATCACTGAAATTCAGCAACACGTGGCTCTACATGTTTGAAACCCTTAGCCAGGGAAACCTAGCGGTGATCTGACACAGTCTGAGGGAGAACAGACCCCCACAGGCAGCAAGTCACCTGCTGGCACCAACGAGGATGCCTGTGTACCACACAGCCTCTGGTGCAGCTCTGCACCGTTTATTTGGATCCCAGGTAGCGATGGTCAGATTACAGACTATAAAGCTGTGTTTGTGTGCCTTAAAGAAACTGGATGAAAGAGAATTCCACCCAGCAAAACCTTCGGTTTTCTCTGAACCGCGATAACGGACCGGCTCGGGAGGACCCGGTAGGACTCGGAATTCCTCTCCCTTCCCAAGCAGGAGTGCTGCCAGCACACCCACCTCTTTCCATCCAGGTCCGAGAACCAGCCCAGGTTGTCGGCGATGATGTGGTGGCTGCCGCAGCCCGGACAGGTGACGATCACCACCCCGCCGTGGTACGCCAGCTTCGAGACGGTTCTGGCCGACCGGGTCTGGCAGACCTGCGGAGCAAAGGAACGGGGTCACGGCCACGGCAGCCGCGGCTGACGGCCCTTCTAACAAAAAAACATTTTGTTTACCTCAGTAAGGGATGGTTTTCTGAGAGAAAAATATTTTATTTACCTCAGAAAGGGATGTTTTGTCCCCGGCCAGGGCCTGCTCTCTGGGAAAAGCCGGTTACCTGCTCCCCCCGCCCGCCCCGCGGCCCAGCCC